AAGCAGCCACTACAGTAACAACTAAAAGACCAAGAACCAAGTTAGGTGATGCTAAAACTGGAAGTTCTAAAAGCAATTCAGGTGCTGCTAAAACTGGAATGGTGAGTTCAAGTCTTTTGACTATGTTTACATGTAACCACTCCTAATAGTAGTTTGATGCATTAAGATACCTCTCATCCATGACTGTAGGTTCAAACCAAGAGTATTTGATTTGGAGAAGCTGTGTTCTCTACGCAAGGATCTTCAACTGCAAATGGACGTTCAACAGTTATGCGCACACCTGAATGTGTTTTGATGTGAAATAGTGTTGCTGATGCTGTTTTTGTCATTACTAGCACTTGATTGCTTGTTTTGCAACAATGTTAGAAATGCTGATGTTGTTTTTTTTTTTTTTTTTTGCCATTACTTGGACATGTTCTACAATCATGTTTTGGTTAGGTTCTACTAAAATGGCCTTTGTTTGGGTAGCCATGCAGACACATGCTAAGATGTAATCTAATGTGCAAAATGCTTTTAACTTAATATAATTTTCTTTCATATATATTTGCTTACAACTATGGTAGATAAAACAGATTTTTGTTACCTTTTGGTTTTGAAATAGAGTACATATACATAATGCTAGCAATCAGAAATGTAATGTGTGACAGCCCCACCTTCCCCTAAGGCGAACCAAAGAGGTTAGCGGACTGCCTGTCCAGCTCTCGTTAGGACTAACGGTGCAGTTTAGAGCGATCTATTTTGTTCCGGAACTTATAACGCGCGTAAACAAGGCAAAAGGGCAAAATAACCCAAAATAAAAAAATGAAATTCGGAGTCGGCCATGAATAGTAACCGACCCGTCAAAACCCAACCAACTATCAAGTAAACATTCACATATGGAATTTGAGCAATTACAACCCAAAGTAGCATACAAAAGTTTTCAAAAGTGAATATATACACGATTTGCCAAATTGAAAGTGAAATCGGCCCTAAAGATACATTTAGGGTTTCCCTTCATATACAATACAAAAGAAATATACATCTAGTTCATTCGGTAACCATCTATCAAGATTCATTCCAAAAAGAGTCATATTCCTGTAAGGAAAATAAAAGAACGGTGTGAGCTAATTGCCCAGTGAGATACTATCACTTATGCACCCAAGTGCATATAAGCATCAAGCTTTCATTCAATTTAGTAAAATAAGCAAAGGCACACTTCAAATATGGTGATAAAAGGATACAGATGGCTCTCAAGAGCCCTTTCCTCGTTTGCATTTCTTGATCGGACGTCATTGACCCTCCATCAATGTTCAAAAGTAACCAGCCGTAGACTCCACTTTACCTCCACTCCTTCCACCTAACATCCCCCTACCGGGCCCGAACTCCAAACACTTGCACTTTGGTATTACTCGAGTATACCGGAATCGAGAGTCTCGCATACTACAAGATTCCATATAACTTTACCCAAGGTTCATTAATTGACACGACCAAACTCTCGCCGGCTCGATTCAATCAACTACCAATGGGGTTGAGCTCATTGATAACATTTGTAGTCGTTGGATACTCGCCCAATCGATACCAAGTCGAGTACTTTCATTTCATGTAACATTTCATATAACATTACAATAACATGACAACAATGATATAAGGCATATAAGTGAGAGTGATAAAGTACACTTTCACTGCAATCAAGTCACATTCAATTCACTTCAAGCAAGTTACATTCAAAGCCATATAGTAACACACAAGTGAGTAGTACACTCACCAGGGTCAGTGCAGATACCTTCCAAAAGAGAGCTTTAATCACCAATAAACCCTAAAATAATCCAAGGAAAACAATTGAAGATTCCACTTTCAAAATTGAGTATACAGAATGCACATGTGAGGCTCGACTACCAGTCGTATGCCTCGCCAAATAATTACTAAAGCAAGGTGCAAAACATGATTTTTGGTAACGAAAAAGTAACATGAAGACCTAGGCTCAACAACCCAAAAGTCCTTCGTTCAAATCACAAGTAAATCCAACTAGCCCTCAAGAAAAATTTCGGCAACATATCCCTTGTTTTTACCTATTTTTCAGCCATCATGGTTTCATTATATTCTCAAATCAGTCCCAACATCTCGTACAAAAGAATCTCATTCCCAAAAGCCGTTCACTAGGCTTAATGGCATTTAAGTACAAAATTTAACTAAGAAATGTCCGGATATGAAAGTCAAGCCCTAAACTATTCAAATAACCACAATAATACTCGATTACAATTCATAAACCAATTCTATCTACTACCAAAACAGGGTTCCCTAAGCATATACAAACATTAGAGGAAACCAGAAAATTCGGAAATGCAATTAATTTTGGCCCTGAAAAAACAGTTTTTGTCCTCATTTTGCGGTAATGGCACCAATTTCACTACGATTATCGGATGAGGGTGCAAGACCCACCATCTCGAAGCTAAAAGACAGGGCTACAACATCACAGAAGGTCACTCAACCCAGTTTTGAGTGCAAACAGGTCAAAAATGCAAGATACTACATCAAAAACGTAAAACAGATTCACCAAAACGCATTCTAGCGAAAACATCATAACTCAAGTTCTACAAGTCCAAATCTAGAAATTCCAAAACCAACTGAAAGCTAAGAAAAAAGGGCTAAATTTCATCAGAAGGCCTCAACAACTAATTCGGAAGCAATTCCAGCCAAAACAACCAATTACAGGCGCAATTCTCCAATTCGGGTAAAACCAGAACAGCAATAGTAATTTCGACTTATCTCATTCTACACTACTCCGATTGACCTGAAATTTTGTAGGCACCTATAAAATGTCATTCCCTACAACTTTTATGTTTTAAGCCAAGGCCAATTCGGCCTCTATCTAGGACCTAAAATTTCGGACAGAATGCTCCCTCAAGAACCCTAGTTTTCTGAAATTTCTTCCAAACCAGAAATTGGTTGCAATTAATCACTTTTCCCACCTCCTTAAGTCATTATAGACCATTTCCAATCATCATAGATAGCCACACAATTATACTTATATTAAAACAGAAAAATCCCAAAAAATAATAAAACTTGATCATTTCAACCACAAATCAAGAATTAATCCATAAACTTGCATCTTCTACTACCACTAAGCATGATTTAAGTATCAATTAAAGAAGGAGGGTGGTTCTTCACAACTTACCTTAAAACAAGAGAGAGAGAGCTATTGGTCACCTTAGCTTTCCAAATAATTCCACACAACAACTCACCAACACTTCCTTAAGTGGTTTTATGGAGCAAAATCAAGGTTGGATGGTTGAGTAAGTTGATTGAAGCAAGATGGAAGACAAAATCTTGAAGAGTTTTCTTTCTTTCCTTGCTTAAGAGATTCGGCCAAGAGGAAGAGAAGAATGAGGGATTTTTGGTGAATTTTTAAGATATTTAAGTCAATTGGTAAGACATGCAATAGTAGTCAAATGGTCCAACCAATAGGCAAGTGACACTTGTCACCTTTTATTAAATACCTACCTAACTTGTCTCTCTCATATCAATCCAAATTGCAACCTTTACTTATCTCTTAACACCCGATAAATTAACTCCAGTATCTAAAACTTAACCTAGTTGGTCGAATTTTTCCGAACTTTTCGCACTAGTGGGTCCCACGTCCGGTATACGCTCTTAATTTCTCAAAATCCATTCGATACTAGAAAAAGCATCTAAAAATTATATCTGCTCCTTAAAATTATCTAGAAATTTTTCTAATCACGAAAATGCAGAAAACAAGCCATAAAAATACGAGAAATCTAGAAAATGAAAATTACGGGTTCTCACATAATGGCTAGTGTTTTTCTCCATGATGAAGATTGAGCAACTTTGAACATCATGTATTGTTGCTGTAGCTGTTGGTTTTTAACTCGTAAGACACAGACTTCTGTTTCTAAGGCTTCATATTTGCTTTCAATTTTTCATGCTCATTTGTCAATTTTTCATGCTCCCTTTGCAAGTACATTAGTTTTTCCTTTTGCTCCACCAGTCTGGATTGCTGCACTGCACTTACTTCTTTTGTTTTGCTACAAACTTCAGGATCTATCCATGAAAAGTGCTCACATGCATGTCGGTTCTAAATAAAAAAAAAAATTAGTTGTTTTAACTCTTTTTAACTTATTCATGTATAGAGCAAAATTAAAGACAATGTTAACAAATTATTAATGAAAAATTCTTACATTGTAATTTGAGCAGCCGTAAAATCTTCTTCCCAGATTTTCAAGTGTCCAAGAGGTGCACAATGGTATCTCTTTATCGCATCCACACATTTTTTGGGGTGATCTTTCAACATTATTTGAAGCACTTTGTGACATTTTATGATGCTTTTGGTTGATAAAGAGAAATTTTAGGAACTTTGGAATCTGCTAAAATGTATGACAAAAATTGGTTGCAAAATACCACCTTTTATAGAACCCAACCAACGGCTCTTTGAGGGAAAAAGTAGGCTAAAAGCATCAGACACCATTGAGGGGCATTTTTGTCAGCCAAAACCAACGGCTCTTTTCGCATGGCAATTTCAAAATTTTGAAGTTTTTAACGGTGCAATTGCTGATGGAGGGAGTAAACTGACGAAAATCAAACGTTGGAGGGTAAAGTGAGAAATAGCCTATACTTAAAGGGGATAAAGTGTGATTAACCCTTTTCATTATGTAGTATTAGAGTTGAATAACAGTTTAGGGGATAAACTAGGAAAAAAAAACTTTAAAGGGTAAAGTGCAAAAGTCGTTAAATTCTAGAGGGAGTTTTTGTGATTAACCTTTAAAATAATATATATATCATTATTTCTGCAAATATATCGTGACACGTAGTTAATAGCAAAGGTCCAGACAAGTTAAATAATACTTTAAAAAAAAAACCAATTGAAAAACGAAAGGGCAAAAATGATCCAATAAATAAATGAAAACCGAAAAGGAAATAATTTCTTTTCTTTTTTCATTTTTTCCGTGAGAACAAGTAAATGGCTCTTTGACGACCAGCAAATAAATAAATAAATTTAAATTCCCAAGTTCCACCTTCGTCCAACCCCACCAAAGTTCCATCTTCCTCAAAAACAGGCAGAAAAATCTGAAAATTTCCTCTGCTGCAAGAAAAAATGGCAATGAGAGCAATTCTTGTTCAGCAATCATCACCCATCACTCTATCCTTCAACAAGACCAAAGCTCCATCTTTTCCTCATAAACCCATTATAGTCATCAAGGCTTCTTCGACTTCTCTAGACTATCCTCCTTCTTCCTCAGCCTCCCCAAAACTATCCACATCAACCAGCAGCTGGCAGTGGAAATTCAGGGACAATTCAGTGAATATCCACTTTGAGGAGCATAAGAGAAATGAGAGCAAAAATCAGCAGCAGCCCACCAAGGAAATTCTGATGATTCCCACTATTTCTGATGTTAGTACAGTGGAGGAATGGAGAGAAGTGGCAAAAGACATTGTTGGACGGGATGGGACAGTTAATTACAGAGCTACTATCGTGGATTGGCCTGGTCTGGGATATTCTGATAGGCCTAAGCTTGATTATAATGCTGATGTGATGGAGAAGTTCTTTGTTGACTTAGTCAACTCGCCTGATGGCCCTCTTAGCAGCAGCAATTCAGGTTGGTAAGAGGGAAAAAATGATTGATTTATTGGTTTTCGTTGTTTAGATTTAATGAGCTCTGTGAAGTTCTTGAATTTGGATTAGTTCAAATAGGATTGCATTTGTATGTATGATTTCTGAAGCTTGGTTTTTCTGGGATCTTATTATTTTGCTGATATTTGGGACAAATTGGATCTATTTATTGGGTATAATATTTCTGATTTTACAATTAGGCTACTGATTATGAGCCTCGTCAAAGCTTGTTTGCATATATTAGGAGTAAAAGCTTACGCTAGATGGTGTTGGTAAAGATAAGTTTTTTGTCTCTGTGTGATTGATGAGTATGTTGATTTTGAAAGTTTTAGTAGTGTGAAGCTTTTAGAGTTTAGGTGAATATTATTTTGTTTTGATTTTTCTTTCTGAGTAATTCTGGTGTCATGAATGTAGCATATGTTCATGCTCTATAATGCTGTTAAGTTTTGCTTATGTTAATAGAAGTTTCAGGAGATTCATGTTAATGGCATATGTAATGCTATTAAGGTTTGCTTATGTTAGTAGAACTTTCGAGGGATTCATGTTAATGGCATAGTTATCCATAGTTTTGGACTTCCAAATGTGGGTTTTCTCTAACTAGACTAGAGAAAATACCAACATTATTTTCTTTTTGACATTGTAAACCTGACATTTTTTGTTGATACTCCTGTTGAATACATATACAGATCTTAGTTGCATGTCATTCTGGTTGATTGTTATCAATGTTGGCATGTTTTTCTGAGTGAGTATATTCATAACTAATTCTCGTGATAAAAAAACAGGGTCTTTTGCAACTCTATTTATTGGGTGACTTCTATCTCTAGTTGTCAATTATCCTCTTGCAACTCTTTCATCTCTTTTATGCTCTTTTTTCTGAGCGAGTATATTCTTAACTAATTCTCGTGGGAAAAAACAGGGTTTTTTGCAACTCTATTTATTGGGTGACTTCTATCTCTACCTGTCTTTTGTCCTCTTATTTTTCATGTTCTCATTCAGCCTATTTATATTTTTCTATCATGAATGCATCCATTCTAGTCTTTCGTATGAGTACTTTGAAATGTTACTCAGCACTCCTCAAATTAAGTAGTATGCCTTGCTAATACTAGCTATGACATATAAAGCAGATCAAGATTTGGTGGTTTTCGGTGGAGGACATGCTGCTACAATTGCGGTTCGTGCCACAACAAAGGGTTTGGTGAAGCCAACTGCCATTGCTGCAGTTACACCTACCTGGGCTGGTCCGCTTCCTATTGTTTTTGGGAGAGACTCTAATATGGAAACAAGGTATAATTATCTCACACTCATGGTTTTATTGTTTTGGATTCTCTCTCATGTTATCTCTTATAGGTGTTATGCCACCTTGGTTATGTATTTTTTTCTTTTTAGGATTGCCGTACACCAGTTATCACTCCCTCATTACATTGATTTATGTTTTAGATTAAGTACCGTTCATTCTCGCAATACTTCTTAATGTGCTGAATATCTTGTCCATCCTGGAACTCTTAATTTATGGATGCACATTTATAAGTCAAAACTCTGTTAACAATTCTTCCTTTCTGTGATTGCGCAATGCAGCTTTCCTAGCCATAATTTGGGAATGCTAAATTGATAATTCATTTTAGACTCTCTAGTCCCTGCATCTTAATCTGTTCATATCTTGAAAAAAATTTCATTCAATACAACGGACCATTTAAACTTCGGAAATTTATCCTGGTGTTTTGTCCTGGATTATACATGTGAGTTTTTGTCACGAAGTATGAAACCGGATGAGTTAATTCACTTTTGGAGAGGTGACAGCGATCAACAGCCCAAAAGAATGCAAACAAGGTTGGAATTTCGTTATGGCGTTAATTTCAAGCCTTTTCCCACTTAAAAGATTAAGAGGCAAGTTTGATATATTTATGTCTTGACCTATGCCAAAAAGAATTAGAAGCCGCCAAGCTAATCACATCTGCAGTTCACTTGACACTTTTTGATGAAATATGAAGATAAAACAAGTTGGACAGTTGACTAGCCAAACATCACTACCTCACATGGAATAGGGCAGGGTTTTTCAATAATTGTAAGATTTCTTACTTTGGTTAGATTTGACATCCAGTTAATTGTATTTTCTTTTTTCTCATTGCTGTAAAATTTTCTTTGCCCGCCCCCTCTCCCCTTCTGAAATAAAGGACAACCTTGATCCTGAGCTTACAAGCAATCATGAGATTCATAGCCAGATTTTTTCATGCGCTAGGCATTCTTTGATAACTTCTTGAGTTCTTAATATTTTAGTTTTTCTTTTTCACCTTTTAAGAACCCATACTATTGTTGCATTGCCCTGAAAAGAAACAAAGAGAAAATATGTTAACAGCTATGTGTACATGCACCCAGGGCAGATTATACTGGCATCTAAAAAACTTACACAATATTCTTGATCCCACTGTTTTGTGAATATGCGCCAGGAAGTAGTATGTAAAGCTGATAGGGGAAACATTGTTTGTTTCGACTATTTACTCGGCCAAGCTGGATACTGACCTCCCTTGTCTTCCAGATATGGTTTCCTTAGAGGAACGCTAAGAGCCCCCGCTGTTGGTTGGATGATGTACAATGTGCTTGTCAGCAATGAAAAAGCAATAGAGTCGCAATATAAATCCCATGTTTATGCAAACCCTGAGAATGTGACACCTAATATTGTTGAGAGTAGATATGCACTTACAAAGATGAATGGTGCTCGGTATGTCCCTGCTGCTTTCTTGACTGGTTTACTTGACCCGGTAAAGTCCCGTGAAGAGTTTGTTGAACTCTTTGCAAAACTGGAAGGAGAAGTTCCTGTTCTAGTAGTGTCAACTACTGGTTCTCCCAAGAGGTCAAAAGCAGAGATCGAAGCACTCAGGAATGCCAAAGGCGTGACCAAGTTTGTTGAGTTGCCAGGTGCCCTCCTTCCACAAGAAGAGTATCCCAGCCTGGTTGCTGAAGAGCTCTACAGATTTTTGCAGGAGATTTTCAACTGAAGGCTTAAAAGTGATACACAGAACCTTTTCTAGTCATCACAGCTGAAATATCTGCTTCACTACTAAATAAGAAATTCATGAACAATCTTGTTTCTAGACATGAGGTGTCACTGGTTTTATAATGGCAAAGAATGTAGAATAGCATACTTCCTCTTTCTGTTGTCTATCCTAAGTTAGTAAAAGTGGCTGCTTCGGTTCTTAGAATATGTCACCATATTAAATTTTGTGTGTGTTTGTGTGTGTGTCAGCAGTTAGATTCGAGATTGTACTCTGCACTGTAACTCAATGTGCTTTTGAAGCAGGCAGCTGATATACAAATTGTATTTGCAATAACACTTCAAATAAAGGCAGCCCATGGTTATTTTCGTTTTGATTGGCAAGTCAGCAGCTCATTTGCATCTGTTGATTATTGAAGCAGGTCTTAGTTAAGTTCGTTGTCAAAAGCTTACATGAAAGTTCTTCTAAAACTGAAGAAAATGAAATTTTATGTAATGAAAAGCAGAACTAGTTATAGGAGACAAGGTTTTATGCGCTCAGCAACTTGTTCCAAGACATGTATGCTTAGCAAGTAAGCATCCATAGCCTTGTACTACCTCCGCTGGCCCTCCAAGCTACAACCATAGCCTTGTACTACATCCGCTAGCCTTCCCATGCTACAACGTTTTTTTTTTTTTTTTTGCTTTCCTGACATCGTATACAATTACAAGGAGGGGTCATGGGGAAGGGGATGGTGGGTGGAGGAAACGTCTGCCGCTATTCCTGTAGTGTACCTGCTCGCTACTACTGCTCTTGACGGAATTGATGTTGATGTTGGCAAGGTTCGAACCCTAATCAACACTCCAGCATGGAAGTTAAGTTCCCCAGGTGGCCACTGGATCAAAAATGTAAATCCATAACTCCAAGAGATTCTTTTTACTTTGAAATCTAAGTATTTTCCAAGAGTCTAAAACTGAAATAAAAATGTTATATGTACTCTTTTTTCTACAATTCATTGACTACTAACCCTTTTTTTTTTCTTTTCTAGCAGAGCAGGGATGGAATTTAGGAAAAAGAGAGCAATGATGGAATTTAGGAAAAAGAGAAGAGGCAGGAATAGGGAATTTGAACCCACGACCTCTAAATCTTAGCCACTATAACTAACTTAACATATAACCATAGCATCTTCTTACTACCCAAGGCTCTGATGCATTTTGCAATTGAAAAATATCTACCGGAGAACCGAACACAAATCCAAATCTGCAAATTATTATTTAAAGTAACTATGTTCTAAAAGCCAATGGTTCTTCTCATCCTTCGACAAAATCTTCACATTAGTAGATTAACGAGAAGATATGTTTTTCTATACTGATCATAAATCTTAAAAAGTAAATTACGCTTTTCGAGTGAATTCTTTTTTTTTTTTTTTGAAATATGAATTCTGTTAGTTAATACTCATATCTCATACTTCTATGATGTTATAATGGATTACCTAATTGACATCTTAGATGAGTTTATCCCTAACAATTTCAACATAAAACTCCTGGAGCTCCTATTAAGTGAACTAAAACTCTGTTGCCAGCCTAACAAACCAACAAAACCGTTGGTTTTCCCTCCAAATCCAAATGACCGTTTCTAAATACCAACTATGAAATATGAATGACCATAAACACCAACAAACGAATTCAAGGGCGAAATGAGCAAACCCCATCAATTCTCCCTCTCATTACTAACCAACTGCAAAACTCTCAAATCCCTCAAACAAATCCACGCCCAAGTCTTGAAAAAAGGTCTCGACTCTGACCCCTTCGTGGCCGGAAAACTCCTCCTTCACTGCTCCATAAACCTCTCCGATTCCCTTGACTATGCGCACCGCCTTTTCACCTACACTCCAAACCCAGATGCTTTCATGTACAACACTCTCATTCGGGGGCTTGGTGAATCAGAAACTCCTCAAAAGTCACTGTCTATATTCACTCACATGCTCGGATATTCAAATTTCCCGCCTGATAGCTTTTCTTTTGCATTTCTGCTCAAAGGGGCAGCCAATGCTAGGTGTTTAAGAATGGGTTCTCAGCTGCATTGTCAAGCACTTGTGCGTGGGCTTGATTCTCATGCTTTTGTTGGGACTACTATTGTTAGTATGTATGCAGAATGTGGGATAGTTGGCTTCTCGAGGAAGATGTTTGATGAAATGCCTGAACCAAATGTTGTTGCGTGGAATGCGATGCTCACGGCTTATTTTAGGTGTTATGATTTAAAGGGTGCTGAAGGGATATTTTATTTAATGCCTTTTAGGGACTTGACTTCGATGAATGTGATGCTTGCGGGGTATACTAAGGTTGGTGAGCTTGAGCTTGCAAAGAAGTTGTTCTTGGGGATGTTAATTAAGGATGATGTTTCGTGGAGTACAATCATTATTGGCTTAGCTCAGAGTGGTTCTTATGATGAGGCATTGAGTTACTTTAGGGAGTTGCGGAGGCTTGGGTTGACACCGAATGAGGTAAGCTTGACAGGGGTTCTATCTGCCTGTGCACAATCTGGGGCATTGGCGTTTGCAATAACATTACATGGATTTATTGAGAAATCTGGAATGGTTTGGATTCTTTCAGTGAATAATGCACTTTTGGATACTTATTCTAAGTGTGGGAGTTTGGATATGGCTTGTTTGGTTTTCAAGAGAATGCCAGGAAAGAAGAGTATTGTTTCGTGGACTTCGATGGTTACTGGGCTTGCAATGCAAGGGTATGGTGAGGGCGCGATAAAACTTTTTAATGAGATGAAGGAATCTGGTATCAAACCTGATGGGATCACTTTTATCGCTATCCTTAAAGCATGCAGTCATGCTGGGCTAATTGAACAAGGGTACAAGATTTTCTCCAAAATGACAGAAGAGTATGGAATTGATCCAACCATTGAGCATTATGGCTGTGTGGTCGACTTATATGGCCGGGCTGGTCTGCTGCAAAAAGCATATGATTTTGTGATTCAAATGCCAATTCCTCCTACAGCTATTATTTGGCGAACACTTCTTGGGGCTTGTAGCTTTTTCGGAGATGTTGTTTTGGCTGAGCGAGTTAAGGAGAGACTTGCTAAGGCAGATCCTGATAATTCGGGTGACCATGTTCTGTTGTCAAATACCTATGCTGTTGCTGGGAAGCAAAATGATGTTGTTATGATAAGAGAATCAATGGCAGAGCTGAAGATGAAGAAAATTCCTGGTTGGAGCATGATTGAAGTTGACAAATTCTAATATAGTTCTGTGCTTGATGTGTAGGAGGATTTGATAAGAGGAAGCTTTCCAGAAGGTGAGAAGAAAACCTAGAGCTTACAACTGAGGAATGCAACATTCCATACCCTAGTCTTGGCACCTGTTTTCTTGATACACAAATAAAGTTAACCAACTCCCTTCCTGTCTCTATACACTCACTCATGCACGCACAGGGGCTCAAATTCCAGCAGCAGGATGAAGGGAAACGAAAACAGAAGAAAAGCGTATTGCTTTTTGAGCAATTATTCAGTAATCAACCTTCTCTATGGTTCAAGGGCACAACCCATTCCTTGTATGCATTACATGTAAGGCATGTTTAGCTTCTCTATGCTATCTCCAATTCTTTCTTCCTTTCCTGCCCCTAAATTATCTACATCATCAAGCAGATGGCCATGGAAATCCAAGGGTGATTCAGTAGTCATATGAATGGGAGTAAAACACTGTGCAGCATCACTTGACTGGATATATTGATCATCCCGATATTTCTAAAATTAATACAATGGACAAGTGGAGAGCAGTGGCAAAAGATATTGTTGGACAAGATAGCTAAGTGAATTGCACAGCAACGCTTTTCAATTGGCCTGGTTTGTAGTATCCTGAGAGGTAGAAATTGGTTGATTAATCCCTTTGGTTTTTCTACATGTTTATCTGTTAAATAGATCCTCCAACATGCTTAAACTTAGTTTTATACATTCATGCAACTTTTCCTGTGCTATGCCAAAATATGGACAATGTGAAGATTCTTGAACTTGTTTATTTGTCAGATTTTCTGCTTTTCTGATCCTTAGGACTGCATGATATTGAATGTCCATGCTCAATTGCAAGATTTCTACTTTAACCCTGAATTATGTTTGGCCTTATTGAGGTCATTTTCTTATGGTAAGAGCAAAAACTTGTGATCTAAGGTGTTGCTAAAGTTTTTCTCTTCTTTTCTTTTCCCCCTACTGATTCTAATTGACTGAATTTTTTCTTAGGAATGATTGGTGATGAGAAGCTGATTTTAAAATTTTTTATTCATTTCAGAACATCAAGGGCAGGCTTGTTTTTTGTGTTTTTCTTTTCTTGTGTTAAGAATTTTCAAAATCAAGAATATGGAATAGATTCAACAATTTTAGAATCAAAATGCATTTTTATGGTGTTATTGCTAAAGATTCCTTAGATGTATCTTTGTGAATGTTTGTACTGATTCCGTCTTTATAGTCTGTTTACAGAATTTTTGCAAAGTTTTGTGCAAATGGGCTAAGCATCCACATACTTTGATTCCAAAAGGTGGTGCTTACTGACTGAATTAGAAAGGATATCAGCATACTCTGTTTTTCTAATGATGGACGTGCTCATACAGACTATACCTGTACATATATACTTAGTCAAACATCACAAGTATATTCACCTATAATCTACTTGCGACACAATGACCACTGTTGTGTGTGTGTGCTTTTTGCCCCCTAAGTACGTTCTTTTGTTAAGTCTTTCCTTGAAATCACAGTACTCATTCTACCAATTTATCTGTTAGGTTCTTCTTTCATAATGTTTCTTGTTCTCTTATTTGCTGCACTTCCTTCAATCATATTGTTTCCTTGTTTCTGTTTGTAGTAAGACATCCTGTAGCTTCTTTCCCAGTAAGTTATCGAACCATTTTCAATTTGCAGACCTTGTGGGCTAAATGTATCTTTGAAATGTTATTGTTCATTAACAACACCAGAAGCTTTGCCTAAACTCTTTGGCACGAAAAAGTGAAAAACAGGTCACATTTGATGAGTTGTGGAAAAATTTATGCAGCTATGGAAAAGAGGGTTTGGTAAAGGAAGCTGGCATTGCTGTTGCACCTACTCAGGCTGGTCCTCTTCCAATTGCATTTATTCGAGATTTTAGCACTCATTCAAGGAATAATCACTTCGTATTTAATACTCTTGGTCCTAACAACTGTCTTAACTTTAATCTTTGCACTCTTATAGGTCCCATCTTTGCCACCTTAATACTCTTGTTATCTATTTTTTTCTGGAGGCACCAGTTTTTGACACTCTTGCATACTCTGCCATGCAGGGATACATTTCACTAAGGTGACCAGGATTCTGACACTTTGTCCATGAAACCTTTCTCTGATACGTTGATTTGATCATTTTAAACTCATATTCAATTGGTTGCTAGGGGACTAGGTTATTAGCTTATGAAATTTCAGGGGCAGCACCACTGCAACATGGTCAGTAGGAATGCACGAAAACAGTAAGTTGGAGTTGGGAAGGAGCTGAGGTTGGAGCCTCATTGGAGAAACAAAGCCAAACATTCTAGATTTCAGTCTAGATCGTTTGCAAAATGCTTTAACAAGACATTATTGCTAATCCTTAAAGATGAAAGGGAAACATTCTTCAACAGGGAAAAGGATATGAATCACCATCTGGGGTCCTGAAGATGGTGAAGGAAAAGGAGCTGCATTTTGATTTTTTTTTTGTGGGTGGCAAATGGAAATATAGTCGATTTCAGATCTGGTGTTTTGCATGTTATCTATTGAATGTGGTATTTGTCAGCTGGAATATATGTTATTATTCTGTTCATCATGTAGGCCACATTTAATTTTGGTCAAAAACTTGTTTTTTAGATTGGAATTTATTAGTGAAATCATCTCACTATTTTCTGAGAAAAAAGTAGAAAAGGGACATATTTGCCAAAACAAAATCAGAGATTCTGTTTCACTCTTTACCCACTTGATCCAATCTTATGTTTCTTGGGCCTATTTGGATTCAAGATTTGGTGGAAAAATGGCATGCATCTTTCTAGGAAGCCTGATACTCAGACCAATGGCCCAACACAGACCTGAATTATTGAGCAGAGCCCACAGAAAAAACGCTGAAAAAGATGTGGAATTTTTTTCCTTTTTAATTTTGAGCCAATCTATGATGCTGTAAATTGAGATAGATTTATTTTTCTTGTTAGAGTTTATGTTCGGTGCTTTACCCCTAAGCAAGCTATCACTACAATCATAAGCCAATAAAACTGTTCACCAAATGAAGGTTTGAATTAATTATGCTCCTACATCATAATCGATTCACAATGGGAAAATCCTAACGAAATAAATTTTTATCTTTCCCAATGAGATGAAATTATAACGAAATACATTTGAGAGTTGAAAAACCTTGCTAGAATGGGTGAAAAGTGGGGAAATGGAGATAATGGCGCTGACAAAAGGCTCAAATTTTGAAGAATTTCTTCATTGATGAGTTGTGTTCTTTTCTTCTTAAGTTTTTTCTTTTTTTTTTAAAACTTGTGATAGATTATTCTTATTCTTTTTCTCATTCATACATTTGATAACCTAATTCAGCACTTAAACTTAATGAATTCAGATATTAATGTGTTCAGACACTTCTGATAACAAAAAATAGAACATCTTAATTAATTATATGACACTAAATTTGGTAGGCAAAACTTGCTTCAAAAAAATAAGCAATAAGTTATTTACTTATCACTTAGTATAATATACACTTACATATATCAGATTTAACGAATTCACACTTCAGATTTCTTGTTAGTTCTTAATAATTCAGTAATTTAATAAATTTATACTTCGGATTTCATATTTCGATTTTATCGAAAGCACCCTAGTTTGGGCAGGAGGAGTACCAGTAAAAAAAAAAAAAAAAAAAAAAAAAAAAACTGATCTGACAAAATCCATGATGTGGGTTTTTGTTGTGGTTCCCTGTATGAACCCATGTCTAGGGCCTTCAGATTTTTGTGAAGAAAATCTCATCCATGTCGCCAAGCTGTGTACGTAAAATCGATAACGTAGAAGTGACTTTCTTCTTACTTGTGCTCATTTGATCAATCGGAATCCAAGACCTTGTAGTTATCTAAATTTCAAGATTGAAGACCACCGAATGAAAAATGACATAAAATCCGTTTCATGTGGACTTGTTCTTACCACCTCATCTGAGGCAAAATGCTTTTTCACAAAGTCAAGAATGATAATGTCGAATTTAAGAGCACACTTTTTCTTGCTGAAAATTTTTGACTTGAAAAACATCATGACATAGACAATTATGTATATATATATATACATATGTAAACAAGAAACTTTTTTGGTTGTATCATCAACTCAGTAGGCCTTGTTATTTTCTACCTCTATCTTTGTCATTGTGAAAGCTAATACATTGTAAAGAAATAGCTTTGTAAGATTGCCAAAATGCCAAGTGGTTTTTGTGTCTATTTTGACTGGTTAAGGTCAGTATCTAGCATGAGTTCCTTTGCGTTGAAATTCACGCAGATTTCGTGTTCTCTCATTTTCTTCTATGCAAAAGTAGAATTGTATCTTTCCCTATTGCCTTCTTTTTGGGGTACATCTGGTTGAAATTGAGGTTGGAAGTCAAGAACTCATAACTTTGGAGACGACTCTAGTACCACTGAGTTAAAGCTAATTGGGATTAAGAAGCTATTTAGTGATCTTGGGGCTGCTCTCATCTTTTTTTATTCGCTATTTTTTTTCTATTAAAAAGTAAATTTCATTAACAAATTGTTAGAAATCATTCGGTACGATTTGATTTACATCGCTGCTTCAATAACAGGCTAAACATGCACTAGAAATAATAGATCAGATCTGTAATTTTACAGATACAATATATCTAAAAAAAAAATAGATTTGTTTTATTCGCTATTGATTCCATTATTTTATGAGTAATTTTCCTTCAGCAAGTACCTAGAACAAATAGTGGTTCGTCTCCCTACTCTCCCTCCTTAATATAAGTGGGGGGTCGTGGAGAAGAACTAGCTTTTGATTAAAATATATATATATATATATGATTTTCAAAATTGGTGGTTTAACTTTTGTGACACAAACAATTAGTACGGAAGAGACTACAAAATTCCTTATGCTTTCCGTTTTGCCTGACATTCCACTTTTCATCTACAGTTCTCAAACCCAAAAAGAAAAGCAAATATCAATGGATCTTATCAAAACTTAAGGTTTGAAAAAAAATTCCTTCTACAATAAAGACACACACACACAGTTATATATGTGGCTTATATTGATTACGGGTGTAAACAGGTCTAATTAAACCGATCGCCCAAGTGTTCGATCTTGGTTGATTATTTTAGCGGATTGAACTTTTATTCAAACTGAACCTTTTATTTGCTGAATAGAGTTTAAGTGAATTTTTTTATCGGATTTAAATGTTATCGAACATAAAATGTTGTTCAAACGTTGTTTAAGTAGTAGTTGACGAACCAAATTCGAACGGACTTTTATCAAATCAAATCTGATTCAAGTATTAAATAGTTTGGTTCATTTTTCAACTCTAACGTGTCAATATATAGTTTAGATTGACATTAACAACTCTATCAGTGTTGTGCAAATGCTATCTTGATTGTTGTAGAATGTAGAGAATTAAGCTATGGTAAATCTTATGTAGTATAGGAGATAAATCTTATTCTCATCTGAAACCAATTCAAGTAACACATGTCCCCATGTCACAAATATGCCGGTGTTTGCATCTGTCTTGTCAAAATTCCACCATCAATACGAGTTTTTCTTTTCTTTTCTAATCAGAAAAAAAAAAAACCAATTTAATCATTTAGAGAAGGGTTTGAGTGGGTCAATTGGCATTGGTTCTAGAACACTTCACTAAGTCCTCAAAAAAGGAACTCACTGGACGCCACTGAGCTGTGCCTGCTGGATGATGCAAATGCATTCTATTTTCCATCCAAGGGCAATGAATAGACGGTACCTCATCTCACACTCAATGAAGCCTCACAAGGTTTGACTTTGTAAGCCCCGCGACAACATATATATACAGATAATATGAAATATATATATACACGCACAAACGCGCGCACAAATATACATATATATATATATATGTGTGTGTGTATATGTACATATATATTTGTGTGGACATAATTAATTAATTAATTAATTTTATGTACAATATTGCTGTATAAACTACTATTGTTATATATATGACATATGTATAAGATTTAAATTTTGTTCATGTATCAGACGTCTAACTATAATAATATATACATTAACGATATATATTAGATTAACACACACATGCGTGTGTGTGTGTATATACGAGAAAATCTTATCACAATTAAATGCACGATATATATATCAAATTTAAATTTTAAATTTAAATTACATGTTATACATGCATCTAATGACGAAAATGTACGTACTATCATCAGTATATTGAGTATTATTCATATATGTATGTATATATATAGCACCAGAGATTAATAATAATCTAGTGCTACTATGTTGCAAAGTCAACACCTCAGACTTCAATATTTACACCGCATTGAATCCTGTGTCGGACTCTGGGACCTACAAAAAAATTGATACGTGTCAGCTGTTCACGTGGTTTAAACGTGATCCTACAGAGGTTGGACTGTTTCCAAAGAATGATTCTATTCCATAACTTGTTGTTCGCTCCTTTCACAATCAAAATAGTTTGGTATTTTCTTTTTTAAAAAAATAGTTTGGTATTATGAGGAATTTAAAATCTTTTTTCAGTCGTAGGTCGAGTGTTAAAATAAAATAGTCAATTTAAAAATCTAAATGTGATTTTGATGAGTTTTTTTTTCCTCTGATTCCTTATAGAATCTTGTCTGATTTGAATAGCACAAGTGTTGCTATTTATTAAAAAAAAAAGACAATTAATACAATCAAATTGCCCTTCTTTTCCTGAAAAAGGAACAATCAAACATTTTTCAACTATCTTTTTTCTTTCTTAATTACATTTATTTGGAAAATAGTATAGAAGTATTTTTTTTTCAAAATATTTAGAAACCACGTCATACAATAAAGTTACAAGTAGAGCTGCAAACGAACCGTGCCGCTCGCGTCAACCTCGAGTAGAAATCGAGCTCGAACTCGAACTCAAAATATTAAGCTCGTTAGGCTCGCGAGCTCGAGTATAAATATATATATATTTTTTTTTATTTTAAGTATATATATATTTTTTATTTTTTTAATTTTAATAGTAAAATTACATATATATCCTTAATATTTTATTATTTATTAAGAAAAAATATTATTTTATTTATTTTTTAAAAAATAAAATAATTATTTTTTATTTTTTTCAAGCTCGAGTTTGAAATTATCAGCTCGTCGAGCTCGATTTCGAATTCGAGTTTAATGAAATTATATCGAGACTCGACTCGATTAGGTTAAAACTCGACTCGACTCTGTTCGTTTGCAGCCCTAATCACAAGAGAAGCAACTCGTTTAAGCAAATTGATTAGAGCCATAGGTTGAGGGATCAAATCCACCGACTTGTATTTGATTCAAAAAGTACTCCTGTTTATTTTTTTCTTTTGATCTAGAGGCGATTTAGTTTCCTCTAGATTTCTTTTTAACTCCTTCAGATATATCACTCCTCCCGCAGCGTAAATTAGCTTGCATTTAAGTCAGGAGTTACTCTCGTGTATTCTTTTTGACTTAGAGACAATTTAATTCCCTCTAGACAACCACCGTTTCAAATCCCATCCCTTTCTTACAACGTAAAAATGAAAGCTAGGTGTAGTTTAGCAATTATCGCTTTGAGTAAAAAAAAAAAAAAAAAGATAAGAAGTCACAAAATATGCAAAGAAATTGAAATTCGCATCCAATAACAAAACTATCG